ATTTGGGTGAAAATTGGGTAAAATTGGGGAAATGGAGCGGAGCACGGAGTGACCGCGGAACGTCAGCACGGACGCGTCACCCGGAAGGGGCGGGGCCCGGCGCGCTGGGGGCGGGGCCACGGCAGGACACGCCCACCGGGGGAAATGGCGGGAAAAATGGGGAAAATTGGGGAAAAATGGGGAAAAAACGAGAGAAATTCAGTCAAAAATTGGGGAAAAAATTGGAGAAAATTGGAGAAAATTGGGGAAAATGCGGGAAAAATGGCGAAAAATGGGTGGAAATTGGGGAAAAATTGGGGAAAAATTGGGGGAAAATTGGAGGAAAAAAGAGAGAAATTCAGTGAAAAATTGGGGGAAAATTGGGGGAAAATTGGAGAAAAATTGGGAAAAAATGAGCAAAATTCAGACAAAGATTAGGAAAAAATTGGGGAAAGGTTGGGGGAAAATTGGGGTAAAAATTGGGAAAAAAATGAGAGAAAAATTGGGGAAAAATTGGGGGAAAAATTGGAGGAAAATTTGGGAAAAAATTGGGAAAAATTGGGGAAAAATTGGGGAAAAATTTGGGGAAAAATTGGGGAAAATTGGGGTAAAAGTGGGAAAAAATGGGGTAAAATGAGCGAAATTCAGTCAAAAATTGGGGAAAAAATTGGGGAAAATTGGGGGAAAATTGGGAAAAAATGGGGAAAAACTTGGGAAAAAAAATTGATAAAAATTGGGGAAATAAGAGCGAAATTCAGTCAAAAATTGGGAAAAAATTGAAGGAAATCGGAGAAAATTGGGGAAAAATTGGGAAAAAACTGGGGGGGGGGGGAATGGGGAAAAAATACCCAAAAATTGGAAGAAAACTGGGAGAAAATGGGTGAAAATTGGTTAAAAATTGGGGAAAATTGGGAAAAAAATGGGGTGAAAATGGGTGAAAATTTGGGGGAAAATTGGATAAAAATTGGGGGGAAATTTTTAACCCTTTCTTCCCCATGTTTAACCCTTTCTTCCCCATTTTTAACCCTTTCTTCCCCGTTTTCCCGCCGTTTTTAACCCTTTCTTCGCCGTTTTTTCGCCGTTTTTCGCCGTTTTTTCGCCGTTTCACCCCCTCCCGCTCCACACCAGTATAAACCAGTATAAACCAGTATAAACCAGTACCGCTGCGGGGCGCCCGCTGCCAGCGGTAGTCCCAGCTCTGCCGCGCCACCGCCCGGCGCGTCGCCGCCAGCGCCGCCTCCCCCGAGGGCCGCCGCAGATCCCAGAGCTTGGCCGACTGGTCCTTGGAGTTGGACACCACGTAGCGACCGTCCCCCTGCCAGTATAAACCAGTATAAACCAGTAAAAACCAGTACAAACCAGTATGAACCAGTAGGAAAAAATTCCATTCGATTTGAGCCAATTTTGGCCTATTTTTACCCAATTCTTGCCCATTTTTCCCCTATTTTTGCCCATTTTGAACCCATTTTTCTTGTCCCACTTGCTCACCCAACCACAAAATCCCAATTTAAACCAGTATGAACCAGTATAAACCAGTATGAACCAGTAGGAAAAAGTTCCATTCGATTTGAGCCAATTTTGCCCAGTTTTTGCCCATTTTTCCCCTATTTTTGCCCATTTTGGACCCATTTTTCTTGTCCCATTTGCTCTCCCAACCACGAAATCCCAGTTTAAACCAGTATAAACCAGTACAAACCAGTATAAACCAGTACAAACCAGTATAAACCAGTAGGAAAAAATTCCATTCGATTTGAT